GTCTTTAGAGAGGGACATCATGCTGGGTAGAGTAGAGCGACGGCACAGGAGGGGAAGACCCTCTATGAGGTGGATTGATTCAGTAACTGGGGTACTCGGGATGGGTGTGTCAGAGGCAGTGAGATTGGCACAGGATAGAGCAAGGTTTAGCACTATTGTACATGGGGTCGCTATGAGTCACAAACGACTCGACGGCACATAACAACAACAATATATATCAAGTGTCAATCAAATCTTCTAATAAGCCACGTGATGTTAGGCTAAATTGTTTTTAATGACAATGACTATGCATATAAAAGGATGGTTCAGAAGTTGCATAGAGTCATTATTTTCTATTCTTTTAGCCTGGCAACATGCACAGGCTGAACTTTGGGCATGTTGCCAGGGGGTACCAATCCTTGGAAAAAACATCATGCTCAGAAAAAGTAGAGGATTAAAGGAGAGGAAGACTCTCAATGAGATGGACTGACCCAGTGACTGCAACAATGGGCTTGACCATGGTGGAAATTGTGGGGACGGTTGCAAGATAGGGCACAGTTTCCATCTGTTTGCTCATAGGGTCTCCAAGAGTCAGTCAACTCCCTGGCCCCTAACATTCTTTCATCCATTACATTCCTTCCAATCATTATCTCAATTACATCCATACTTTTACACTATCTTTTTTTACAAAGATTACTACTAAAAAGGCTGTTTATTATGGAGTAATCACAGAATATTAAGCAACCACAGAAGTACTGGAAGGAGAGTAATTTAACCCTCTAAGTATGGACTATTGAATCAGAAGTGCTTTATTCACAACTTACATGGTAAAGTTCCTCTTGTTTTCATTTATCAAGACTTCTATTTCTACTCATTTAGAAAATTATGTTAAATACATACTGTTTTTACTTGAAGCACTTTTCTGCAGTTTTGGGGGACATACACACCCAATCAGTTACATCACTGGCACAACTTTGTATTAAAGTGTGATTTAAAATATTTATTATTATTGTTGTTATGTGCCACAGGTCAAAACCAATCCATACCTGACCCTCCAGTGGGTTTTCAGGGACTGTAAACTGCACTGGTGAACACCCACCTTCCTCTCATGGAACAGCTGGTAGATTCTAACTACTTGCATTTGGGGTGGTGGCACAGCTCCTTACCCATTAGGCCACCTGAACTCCCTAATCATAACCCTATCAGTAGAAAAGTTAAAATACAATCTTATTCTCATGATAGAGTAGTTGTTATAGGAATACATGCAATGTAAGAACCTAAACATGTGTCTTACTCGTGCTTTTAAAGAATAAATTTTTCCCTTGGAAATACTGCCACCATCACCAACCACTCTGAAAAAAGAAAAGAGGGAAAAGGTTAGAATATCTTCCAATTATCAGGTTACTTATGCCTCCATGAGACAACTTATGGGCCAGCTGAAACAGACATAATTATTCCCAGTCCCCTCCTCCATTTTCCTATTTCCCATAAGCTTGAAAGTGAAGCACTTAAGTCTCTCAGTTTCCTTTTTAAATAGAGTTGGCCACGAAATCCAATTCTTGTCAATGATATAAATTATTCTGGAAAACTTTTGTATTAAAAAAGACCTAAGGCAGTTAGTGAACCATTTTTCTGCCATGAACATATGGATGTGACTCCTGGAACCAATCAGCTGAAATAACGGAGAGAGAAACTCAAAGCTGAAAAGCCAAGATGCCAAAGATGTTAGAACACCAAATAGTTTGGGGGTCTTGTGGCACTTTGCTTAAGCTGCCATTAGTGAAGTTTTCTTTTGTAGCCAAACATGTATCAGTTGGTATGTATAATTTCTAAATCATTGAGTCTCTAAGACCAATAAAAAAATTTAACATATAAAATAAGTAATCAAAGTACTTAAAATTTATGACCAAAACATAGGTAATACATAGTTCACAAGTGGTTTAAAATACGTAAAAGAAAACTGAAGTTAGCACCAATGATTCTATGAGTGAGAAGTTTGGCAAAACTATGGGTCTCAGGTTACCCTTTCTCATAAAGTTCTACTGGAACACAGGTTTATGTAGTGTATAAGGAGCACTGGTGACTCAGTCATAAGGAGTTGCACTATCAACCCAAAGGCAAGCAGTTCAAATACACCATGTGCTCCAAGGGAGAAAGATGGGTAATCTCTTCCCCTGCGATTTACTGCCTCTGAAAATCTACTGGAGATTCAGCTATGAGTTGATTCTCTGACTTGATATATAACAATGACAACAGGTACTATATATATGTAGTTGCAACAGAGATCTGGGCTGCAAGCCTAAAATTTATTCTTTAGTCCTTTATATTTTTATTTAATATTTCCAATATTGAATAAAACATATCAGAAAATTAGTCTCAGTAATTTTTTTCTTTGACACTGGCAAGATCGGAAAGGAAATAAGATAAAAATCATCATTATTTTTACTTTAATCCAGAGTCTCAAGAGATCACCTAAATGAAAAACAATCCAATAACCCAGTATTTTTATTTTCCTCAATGGCGTTTTAATGATTTAATATTGAAAGTTACAGTATAAATGACTATTTAAAATTTAAAACCATGCTCATATGTATCTCCCATTAAATAAATGAAATTTCACAACTCTCCTTTGTAGCATATTCATTTGTCATATATTTTGGGTCCTAAATGGTATCAGAAAAAAGTAAACAATTGATATTTCTTTCAAAAGTTAACTACTAATGGATGTCTTAGCAAGACAGTTTTGCTTATTTTACTTCAAAATTAAAAATGCTATTGTTGTTGTTGTTGTTGTTATGTGCCATCGAGTCGTTTCCGACTCATAGCGACCCTATGCACAACAGCTCTAAACCCTGCTCTATCCTGCGCCA